CAGATGTTCGGATAAATTCCATCAAAGAGGGCAGAGACAAAGAAACACTAAGGGACACGGCCAAGTGTGGGGGTCTGTGACACGGACAGCCATCAAGCCGTACCGTTGTAATCAATTTGAAATTTCAACTACAACAGCCATCCTTCAACTCAAGGTTTCACGGAGACAGTTTCAGGCAAAATTTAACCAATTTATAAGAAAATGCTACAATTTGCACAAAGATTTAGACAACTTATCTGCAAAAATATATTTTGGTATTCAAAAAAAATGGAAAAGTACAACTGAGCCAAGAACCTGCACAACTTGGAGCCGAAACTGAACTTAATTCAGTTTCTTTATATAAAATATTGCCATTTGTATAAATAATAGAAATGAAATAACTGCCCTTTACTTAGATGATTTCTAAATGACAATTTTGTTACATTAATACACTGTAAAGCTGTTAGTGTTTGGCTTCAATCTCGCAAACCGGTTTCATTTATTTGCCTTGTACAGGATCTAGTGAGGGAAAAAAAAAAGAAAGCAAAGCATACAGGTTTGATTGCATCACTACGGTACACTTGTATTACCTGCTTTTGGAATCCAGTTTGTACCGTTTGCACTGATTCTATCTTTTTTTTTTTGTCCCCTGTCTCTGTAGGTTGTGTGGAGAGAAGTGAAAAACATTTCACTTATAAATGGAGAGAAACAAGCAGGCACTCAGGGTCAACGAAAGCAACACGCTCAATACCACACCTGCTTGAGAAGCACCTTATCAATGACTGCAGCTGAAACGAAGTGACTACACCCAACAACGCAAACCTGACTGATCCATAGAAACGATTGGGCTGCCACCATGGACGGAGAGGAGCATATTCCTCGCCTGAGTGAGGATTTCTTCTGTGTGCCTGACAGTTCTGCAGAAAGTAAAAAAAGAGAGGCGAAAGGGACCTGCCTGAAAATCGAGGGACAGGAAGGTTATGTGTTAAAGTCCTACAGCTTTCATTCTCACGATCTCACGGATGCAAAGTCGCCAAGCTGCTCCTCAACACTGGATAAAGATTCCCTCCCTACTTTCCATTTATCTTCTCAGGTAGACAAACGGTTAGACTTGGAGAAAGTATGTGACATTGCTCCATCGTCCCTCAATGATGGACATATAGACACTGAGAAGTATCCAAACGGTGGTGGACTGAGTGAAAGTGTCAAAGATCATATTGGGGATGCAAATGAGATGGAAGAGGAAATGCCAGATGACGAAAGGCTAGCATTTGGTGGCGCCATTGCCCCTTTTCTAACCCGAGACTGTGATGACTATAGTAATTTATTTAGCGGATACACAAGCACCCTTTATGATGTTGCCATGGATGCCGTCACTCAAAGTCTTTTGTCGTCGATGAGGGGTCATGGCAACCCGAGGAAAAAATCTCAAGCGTGGAATCACTTCTTCATTTCGCCACGGGACAATACCAAAGCAATCTGTCTATACTGCATGAAAGAGTTCAGTCGGGGCAAGAACGAAAAAGACCTCAGCACGAGTTGTTTGATGAGGCACGTACGAAGGGCTCACCCGACTGTGCTTATACAGGACGGCACAGATGCATCCTTCTCAAGCCTGCCTCTTTTTCCCTCATCGTTGATACCTCCCTCCCCAGGTTCACCAAAAAACGGAGACTTTTTTACTTCTCCCTCAAAGAACACGTCACCGTCCACATCCTCAGCTGAAAATTCAAGCCCGTCATCCAAAGAAGTGCTGCCCAAAGTCGAACAAAAAATGGAACAGTTTACAAACGTCGACCCTCTGAGTAGTATCCTTCCACCCTTTCCATCCTCACATTCCAGCGAAAACAACGACGACTTATTAGACGGAGGACCCGAGCGCCCTCCGGGAACCCCTAAGGGCGCCAGTTCCCGTCGCAGGTCGGCCGTGTGGAAGCATTTCTACTTGTCACCTGCAGACAATTCCAAAGCTGTGTGTATCCACTGCATGAATGAATTCAGTAGGGGTAAAAACGGAAAAGATCTCGGGACAAGCTGTCTCATTCGTCACATGTGGAGAGCCCACAAAGAGGTTGTAATCGAGGAAAACGGACATGGCAACCACATTCCACCACCCTATACAAACCCACCCTCGCTGCTGTCCCGCTCACATGATGCACTGGAAATTAAAAAAGAGCCACCCTTTCTTATCTCCTCCCCAGAGACCCTATCAGATGAACTACCCCAAAGCTTAGAGGAAAGCATGTTTATTAAGGAGGAGAGAGACCTTATGCATCTCTCAGGGCAGGATTCCTCTTTTAACTTATTTAAAACTCAGGGGGCTGATACACCACTGACTTCCTCACCATACCTCTCTGAAGGCCCCAGCCTCAGTCAGAACCATTTAGTTTTCCAACAGAATAAAAAGCTTATGAAACGGGTGAAATCTGAAGTGTGGCAACATTTCATAGTGTCGCCAGTTGACCAGTTAAAAGCACTGTGCCGTTACTGTCCTTGTGTCATTAGTCGGGGCAAGCGGGGCGACTTTGGCACAAGTTGCCTGATGAGGCATCTGATGAGACGTCACCCAGACGTCATGAAAAACCAAAAAAGCACAGACGAGAAGGAATCGTTCCCTCACCCCTACGCCATGCTCACCTCAACGGATCCAGTCTCAGCCAAAGAAGCTGACGACTCTGGCATTGACAAAAAACCCCCAAACCTGCCCGTTTTCAGCAAAAGGACGTCAAAACTGTGGAATCATTTCTCCATTTCCGACACCGATCCCACCAAGGTGAATTGTTTGCACTGTAGCCGCACAATTAGCAGAGGCAAAAAGACTACGAACCTCGGCACGAGCTGCCTCTTCAGGCACATGCAGAGGTTCCATGGACATTTTCTCGAAAGTAACAGTTCTATCTCAGGTGTTGTGCCGTCTGCTGAAGTTCGCATTAAACAAGAGCCGGTGGAAGACACCGTTTATCAGTCAGAGCAAAGCTGTGCGAGGTTTGATGAACACCACCCGGTTGCCAAAAAAACCACCAAGCTTATTGCGGAAATGCTCGCACTGGATCTTCAGCCATCAGCTATGGTAGAGAATTCTGGACTGACTAGACTGATAGAGTTCCTCCAGCCTCAGTATTCTCTTCCACCTTCTTCTTACTTTACCAGCACCGCCATACCAGAAATGTACAATAAGGTGAAAGATGTTGTGCTGACCCACCTAAAAGAGGCCGAAGGCGGCGTTGTCCACTTCACAACAAGTATTTGGGTCAGCAGCCAGACAAGAGAATACTTGACCCTTACGGCTCACTGGGCAGCATACGAGTCAAATCTCCGACCTCAAGGTCAAGACTTCCACTGTTCAGCTCTCCTAAGTGTCTCGCAAATAGATTGTGATCAAGATATGCACGACATCCCAAAGCAGCTTGAGTACCTGTGGGACAATTGGATCACCTCACCAGGGCTGAAGAAGGGGTTCACAGTAACAGATAACGACACCATCAAAAATACCTTGGAGGAGCATGGCCATGTCACCGTGCAGTGTTTTGGACACACCATAGACCTCATTGTAAGCGAAGCCATAAAAAGCCAGAGATTGGTTCAGAACCTTCTGAGCATAGCGCGAAAGATCTGTGAACGTGTGCACCGTTCGGCGAATGCAAAAGAAAGACTGGCCGAGCTCCAAAAGACTCACCAGCTGCCAGAAAACCAGCTGATACAGGACGTTCCATCCAAGTGGATGACGTCCTTCTTCATGCTGGAACGCCTGGTTGAGCAGAAGGTAGCTATCGATGACTTGTCGATAGAGTGCAATTTCAGGGAAATAATCAGCTTTGACCAGTGGGAGGTGATGCTCTCAGTCTGCAACGCACTGAAACCCTTTGAAGTGGCCAGCAGGGAGCTGAGCAACCGCACTGCCACTCTGGGCCAAGTCATACCGCTCATTCACATTCTCACCAGGAAAATAGATCTTTTGTTTGATGAGACTGTTGGCATCGATAATATGCTGATGTCTCTAAAGGAAGCAATGATGAACAGGATGTCGGCTACTCTGCAAGACCCACGTTATACCTGGGCCACCATGTTGGACCCGAGATACAAAACATCACTGTTCACAGAGGAGGAAGCCGAGCGTTGCAAACAAGATCTGATCCAGGAGCTGGACTTGTCCTCTTCTACCTCAGTTCCAGTTAGCTCTCTCCTCCCCAACGGCTGCGACGAGGACCCCGTTTCCTCCGACAACCCCCACTCAACCAGAGACAACCTCTGGCCCTTGATGCCTGAATTCAGGCAAAACATAAAAGAAGAGGACGAGGAGGAAAAGTCCGCAGAGATGGTAGTGCTGGAGTATTTGGAGGAAGACATCTTAGATCAAAGCTGTGACCCCCTCGACTATTGGAACCTGAAAAAGTTCCTGTGGCCCGATCTTGCCAAAGTAGCTGCCCGTTACGTGGGCTGCCCTCCCACCATCGTCCCAGCAGAGACGCTGTTCAGCACCGCCGGCGTCAACTGTGCTCTAAACCAGCCCAGGCCAATGCTGGACAACATAGAGGGACTGCTGTTCCTTAAGGTCAACCTCCCCTTGATCTATTTTCAGTACTGAACATTACTGAATATTAATTTGAAAACTGTTCTATCAAGGACCAAGTTGCATAGCTGTGAAATGGGTGGGCTTGTGTGGGGCTAATTGTAAGATAGGGTTTCATACACTGATTCTTAATGCAAAGGCCAGATTGAGGGTTTCTTGTATTGTGTACTACTGTTAAACACTTGGAGCTGTTGTGATGAAATGTCTCAGTGAGAAGTGTATCAGGGAGGGATTTTCTTTTTTTTTTTTTAGCTGTAGGGGGATAGTGATGGTGTGTTTGGTTATAATCTTTTGTTCTTGTTGTTTTTTTCTGTTGTCTACTCTCTCCTTGTGCCTTAACCAAAACTACTTCAGGTCAAAATGCTGTAAATATTATATAAATTGTGCTGATTGCATCAGGATCTGTTTTTTTTTTTTTTTCTTTAATTAAACATAGATGCAAGGAATATTATTTTCAGAATGACAACTTGGCCCAAAAACAAATGCTGTGACTGAAAGATGTTTTAAGTTAATGCTATTTAATTTTTCTTTGTAAATTTGAGGCTTACGGTACTGTCACTTAGAAATATTTTTTTTGTTTGTTTTTTTAACTCACTGAAATGTTTTTAATAAGATGATGTATAATGTGGCTGTATTTTCAGAATAAGGTGGGTTTTTTGGAATACACCAGTTGTCTCTTAAGCACAATTTAAGTTTATGTCCAGGGGATTAAATTATGGGTTTATTATTGATTAACAGTGTACTGTACATTTTTATATTAAATGACTCTGAACCTAATTTGATAAACGTTTTAGCATTCAGACTGGAAACATGCAAATTTTGTGGTCATTTGTAAATAAAGGTTTTTCTTGAACAGTATTCTCTCTTTTTTTGTTAATTCTAGCTTTGGTGTGAAGTTTTGAATGATTTAAAGGGTTAGTTCAGGATTTATAGAGGGAGTTTTTATTTATTTAGTTTTTCAGGTATCTTTTTACCTGCAGTAGGTGACGCTTGCCTTCATTTAGCATAGGTCCAGTTTAGTTTGGCATTGAGCATCTAACATGTTTCAGCTCACAATAACTGGTATAAAAGGGTGAAATGAGTTTAAGGAAATGCTACCTTAAATTTGTTAGCTTTTTTCCAGGACATTTTCAAGAATGTAACCGTTTAAAAAAAAAAAAAAATCTAATTTTAAAGGCAGCATTTTTATTTACTTATTTATTTATTCCTGATTTCCAGAGCTACATCAGCACCTTCAGAAATATTTCCATTTAGAGATGAACTCTTAAGAAATGTCAGCTCATTCTACTTAAACTTCAAATAAGGTTACAAATTCACAAAAATAGGATATTGCTCAATTGACATTTTTGTAGAAGGAAAATTTGTTAATCTTGATAACGTTTAGTTCCTGTTACGTTACTGACAAAGACTGTGCTGCGTTCGGCTCTCTGGTTGCTTATGTGAGCCATTAAGAAACAAGGTCACCCACTGCTTTATAATGTGGTTAATCTTAGATATTTTGGTCCCATTTAGTGTTTCAAACAGGAAGATTATTGCTGTTGCACCACCTGCAATTCCTGTGAAAACAATTATCCAATGCAGAGTTATCAATTTTAGCAATTACACAAAGCAAATTACATTTTTAGGATGTTATTTAAGGCTACAAACATTTGGTTTGGCCTCAAACCAATTAAAGCCGTTAGCTTTAATCTCCAGCACCGACCACTCTGGGTTTATACCACCCCTCTCCAAAATGTCCTGAACTCTCTAAGGATAACAACATGCTTTTATTTTCTCTGTTTGGCTTTATTCATTTACAAGTCAAAATATATAAATGATTCTCTGGTGTAAACAACAGCTGGATGCGTTTGCTGGGGCAGAAGATTATAGACGATCTGTGCTGGTATGTGACACCAAGACATTTTTTTTTTATCAACCTAGCAGCATGATTTTTAATCGTCTTTGGTCACCTTATAGTTCTAAATTATATTTCAGCTCATGTTTCTCTTGGTGTGCCCTCCCAAGTCTTGCTCTGCATCAGCACAGCTTTCCTCGCTAGGTGAACTCTGACAGGTGGGAAGTGAGCCGTGCTAAAGGCGATATTGTTGAAACCTTCGACGTAGACCAGAGGCTTATGAGTGTTGTGCAGCTGCTGTATCTTGGTGATGTTTGCCTCCATTAACAGGTGTGAGTAAACCTGGAGCTCGGGGCTTGTGCTGCTTATGTCTTCTCTTTTGTCGTATCTGTAGAATTGAAGACTATTTATTAAAAAGATAACCAAAATGAGGGGTGTTTTTATGTCATGGCACAAAAGTAGCACCCTCCCGCAATTCACTGGTATCTGATAAAGATTTGTAAAAAGCATCAAGATGATTGACCTTGTAGCAAAATTTCACAGTGAAAAAAAAAAAAACTGGAGAGGGGAGTGATTAGAGATAATTGATTTTTTCCTTCAAAATAAGTAAATATGAAACATTTAAATGAAGAGTTTATCTTTTAAAGTGCAGCGTCATAGAAGTTGCATTAAGTAGCAAAACTTCTCATTTCTTTAGGGTGTCATTATGTGACAGTCCTGATTCTAAACCCAATATTCAAAATGGAAAAGACAAGAAAACATGCCGTTCAAGCAGCTTGTGTGTTCATCGTTTTCAGTCAGAAAATGTTTCCTTGGGACATAAATATAAGGATTTATTTATTTATCTCGAATATTTAGAAGTATAAAATCACACACATGAACAAGGAATGCAAAAGACATATTTTTGTACCACAATAATCTTGAAATGCTCAAAAAGGAGTAGGAAGAAAGAAGAAACTTGTATAACAACATAAAGGTTTATTTCTATTAACCCCTCTCCAAAACAGGAAAAATAGGGAAGCATGCCATTTTTACAAAGAAAATGTGATTTTATAAGTGATAAAATAGTAGAAGAAAATAACTAAATAGCTTGTTTCCTTGGAGAAATGATGATGCTACAGTTTGAGAATGATTAAAACATTATAAACAACTGACACTGCAACAGGACCCAAATTTCGTCCTTATTTCAGCAGCATGGAATTGTATTTAATGTGTTTAATTGAATGCTTTTTACATTTCTTTAGCAGGGGTGTCAATAACAGTGATGGGCAATGTTTACACAACACTTACCTCCAGTTTTTGTTTTGCTCTAAGAAGCGTGACACTCCTGTTTCAGCAGCAAAGGTGTCAATGTGAACAAAGATATCTGGGGGAGGGGGGAGGAAAAATGTGCACACCACATTTAAAATTTCAGAAGTGTGTGTTAATATTAGGAAATAAGGTTACTTAATTGCGGTTGTGACCTGCTGTGGCTGGCAACAGCCTGTGTAGTTCCTGGATTCCCTTGCCGCCCGGGTAGTTGTGATGGGAAACATACAGGCAAAGGAAAGTGTATGATGAGTTGATCAACAGCTGGCCAACCACAACTGCAGAGCCCAGTTTGTACATCCAGGATTTCTGATAGTTGCACAATCTGAAGCAAAACAAAGAGGGAAAAATGAATGAAATACAGTAAATATATTATATATATATATATATATATATATATATATATATATATATATAAAACTCGATATAAGATTTTTTTAAATAAACTTTAACTTGCATGAAGGAACAGCCGCGTGCAGCGGCCAAATTGAGCACAGGGAAAGTGTAAATAATGAAACGCATCTCCTTATGAGGCAGCAGCGAATAGACGAGGATGAAGCCAACTGTGGGGAGCAGCAGCAGCCTAACCCGCCTGTCCAGGAGGCCGAGAGGCACGAAGAGCAGCGAGCAGCCCAGGACCCGAGGCACGGCGGAGTAAAAATACCACAAAAAGGGCGAGGTTTAATGGAGAGAGGAGTTAGGGAGAACTTGGGAGTTAGACAGAAAATAACTATTTGGGGAAATCATTAGGATTTCCATTTTAAAACAAAAAAACTGAAGACAGTTGTACATTTTTCCCCTATACAAATCATGTTCGTTGCATTGTTTGCACAAAATCATTCTTTGATAATGAGCTGTTTTTTGAGGTCTCTGTCACTTTAAATCCAAACAAACTGCTGTTGGCCCCGCCCCCCCAACTCAACTTTTACACTTGCGTGTGAAAATGGCTACAGACAGATACTCAATTATTCAATAGCACTTCTTTGAAAAGCACAACAAACAAAAATTCAGCAAGTGGTTTCTGGATGGTAAGTCAACACACAAAACACTTGTCTTTTCCAGCAGCCATTGTACAGCGCATATAGAGGTAAATCCAGCTGACCAAACGTGCTGGAGATCAGCTTGAGCTGCTAGGTTCAAGCAGATCCTTCGCCAGGGTTGCTAGGTGAGGGTCAGTGCCTGCTGGTTTGTGACATTATATTCCATAAGTTTTTGAAACGGCTCATTTTCTAGAAAAGCAAAAAAAGAATTTACTGCCAAAAGACGGCTCTGTATGTTTTTTTTTTAAGCACTTGGATTGTTTTTAGAAGCAGTAGAAACCCAAATGGAAGCAAAATATGACGTCTACATTATAGGTTCCCTTTAAAAGGATATTCCCCAGTTGGAGCTTTTATTAAGAATGGTGTTGTACCACAGCACCTGCCCCTCAGGCCACAAAAGTTTCCTCCAAAAGAAGGTGTCGACAGCCACCGTCAGAGCTGCAGCAAAAACATAAAACAAACATATTTCTGGTTTAATTGTATGCAATTATGAAGGATAAAACAAATAAAAAAATGAATTTACTTTCAGTCCACCTTAAGAGATGCTAAACGTTCTGCCCACCTCATTAGATATTGTAATTTCTGCTCTCACCTAGGGAGAAGAGTCCAGCAGGAGCAGCATAGTAAATCAGCTGCAGCAGCCCCAGCCTCCTGCGCAGCAGCGCCATCAGCAGCATGAGGCCCAGCAAGATGCAGAGCTCAGACCGGATCACGATGATGACCAAAGCGGAGAGTCTGATGAACCAGCCGTGTTTCTGAGCCATCCAAGATGTGAACGCTACAAGAACTTTGGGAGGAATTTTGCAACCATAAAGAAAGAGATGTACCAAGATTCCTTCGGTAAAGATGTTAGTGTAGCGTACCTATTGGCAGTGCAAAGACATTGGGGAGTGTCCTGGTGCTGTAGAACATGAGGTGGAACTGGGAGGCACAGGTCAGGCAGAAAAGACACGCAACTGTGGAGCCAAACTGCCTCCGCACTTCTTTCTGCATATGCCACAGAGCGCCGATCACGCAAAAGCCCAGTGAAGCCCGGACTGAGCAGAACGTACATTAGAAATCCTCACATTCAAGTTAAAGCAGTCATTGTCTGTTTGTTTCCTTACCTATATACTGAGTGTAGAACTTAGGTGCCTCCAGCAGAGATGATAAAGAAACAAGCGGGGAGCAGAGCGTGGAGAGGAACAGGGGTCCGAGAAAAGTACGCGGCACAACTCCAGGGAATTCATGATGGTCATACTGAGAGAGATAAGTGATATTTTATAGTTTCCAGTGCACTGAAAACATAATGAAAACAATTCACTTTTAAAAAATATACAGACTAAAAAAATTTAATTTTCCAACTTAAAACCATCAAACCATGAAAACAGACATTTGTTACACCAATTTTAAACAACAATCTTGTTTAAATATTTACATTCCTTATAAAATCAGTACTGTCACAAACATTAATATTGCCATATGTAATTTACAAGATGCAAGTTTCTTATTTCTTGCTAAGGTTTTCTTTTTTTTAACTTTTCTTTTTTATATATATAACAAAATGTGTCAGAAAAATGTTATCCATCTTGCACAAGTTCTATTAAACCTAAACTACAAATCAAGTAAAAATAAATAAAATGCAAGTTTTACGGAAATTGCATTTTTAAAAGTATTTATTTTAATATGAAGATATCCTTTATTTGTACTATGATAACAGCCAAAGTAGTGGCATGAACTGTTGACATTTAAGCAATTAGTTGTTTAAAGGGCGTTTTGGTTTGTCTCTTCTGTGCGCATGCGTGTGATTTACAGTCTACATCATTGAAAGTCTGCTTACCTTGTTAAAATCAAGTCTGTGGTACAGAATGTCGTGCGTCGCCTGTAAATTAAAGCTTTCTTCGACTTTCGTGAAGGGGCAAATTAATAAATGCAGGAAACTCAGAGAAATTAACAAAAACAGCAAAGGCTTCCCCCAAACATTCTTCTTCTCCGCCATGACAGCTGGCGAGCCGACGATTTTACTTCCGGTCAACACAGGAAGCGAACGCTCTCAACACGCGTTGAAGTCGCGTGTTGATATTATTTGTTTTATCCCAAAACGTGTCAGTACCTAGTTGGTATTGCAATAAAGAGGTTTTCTAAAATTAAAAAATATGTTTTTGAATAAAACAAATAGGTTTCCTAAATTTTCCACGTGTGGCTAGATTTTATGTCCCGCTCGTGGCGGCTTGTGATTGGTTGTTTTAATGATTGACAGACCTTTTCACCAATTACTACAAGCCACAATCAACCTTAGAGGCTGACGCGGAAAACTAGAAAAGCATCTTTTTTTTTCTACAACCGGCATGTAAATACTACTTAGCTGCGCTTTGCATAGATACAATTATCTTAAGTTTGATGTTAGAATAGTTCATTTAAATGTATCCAACCGTTACAGAACTTTATAGCTAGGTGTATACCAGTTAGTGAAGGGTGCTACTGTCATGATAGCGTGATTGAGTCTGTTTGGGTGAGAGATGCTGTCCCCTTGCCTTCCACAGATGCGGCTCCTCTCCTGCTCCATTATTCTTGTTTTGCTTTTTCAAGCCGGCGACACCAAGAGAGATTTAAAAAGCGCCTGCAGCACCTGCCATCAAATTACTGAGAACTTCAACAAGGTCAGAGATCTTTTCAAAACACTCGTCTTGCTTGCACTGCCGTGCTACAGTATTCAGTATCATGGAACAAAATAGTATTTTAGGCATAACTGTCAGGTGAAAGGAAATCCATACACGCCTTAATGCATTTAATTTCTGCTTTTTGCTTTAAATATGTGACGGGCATTTATGCTCAGTCCCTTTTAATCTGGCATTCCTAAATACAATTCAGCGCAGTTAACTGCTTTTAGAAATTGCTGTCAATTATTGCTAAAATCCGGCTTATCAGAAACGTTTGTTTGGAAAACTTTATAAACAAACTGCACCATGAACACAGCAGAAAGGTCAGGTGTGAACTTTGAGAAGATGAATCAGTATTAGATTATAAACCAATGTCACCAGTAAGGCATATCTGATAAGTCGACCTCATTGATCTACGTGGAAAACCTCTTCCTCTTTCCATTTGGTATAAATAATTTGGGTTTGTGGTTTTCTTCTCTCTTTTTTTTTCAGGGCTATGACAGAACAGCAAAGCAGAACTTTGGAGGAGGCAACACAGCCTGGGAGGAGAGAAAGCTGTCCAAGTATGAGACAAGGTGAGACGAGTCCAGATCGTCCTGTCCTCTGCTAACTCCAGGTCAACCTGATGCAGAGCTGTTTGACCTCGGCAGTGGAAGCTTATCTACGCTTTTAGATAACAGATCATTAAACAACAAGGTTGCACCAAATGGAGAACCTTTACTTTCACTAGTCACTTCCTTTTCCTCTATGCCCTGTGTGGATATATCTATGTCTGTCTTCCTGCAGTGAGATTCGCCTGATGGAGATCTTGGAGGATCTGTGTGATAGCAGCAGCTTTGAGTGCAACCGCATGGTGGAGGAACACGAGGAGCAATTCGAGACCTGGTGGTTTAAAAAGTGGGTGTCTGGTGAGATTGACAAAGGACCTGTCAATGAGCATGAGATAATGTTCAAAAAAGTGTTTAAACATAAGCAATTATCTAATCTGGGACCTTTTTGTACCTGAATTATTTCACGATCAGTTCACAAGTTTTTGCAGTAAGTTTCTGCATTAATTGAAGCCCACCTCTCCCCATTTCATCCCCTTCTGCGATGCAGGAAAACCAAACATCCAGATCTGCATAAATGGTTCTGCATAGACACTATCAAGGTCTGCTGTCCAAAGGGAACATTTGGACCTGACTGCAATGGTAAGGAACGATTCTAATGAAGCCAGAGGAAGAATAGATCTGGCTGTAATATTTGATGCACCAATGATAATAATAATTTTGTTTCTGAAGCTTGTATAGGGGGCTCGGAGAGGCCGTGTCACGGAAACGGGGTGTGTGACGGCGACGGGACCCGCGGAGGCAACGGGAAGTGCAGCTGTGACCACGCCTATAAGGGGGAGTTCTGCTTGGACTGCGTCGACGGGTATTTCAACGAAGTCAGAAACGATACCTTCTCTTTGTGTACAGGTAAACTTTAGGCTAACTTGTACAGGAATCGACATGGTTCAGTGAACTGGTCAGTGATTCAGGGTCTACATCCTCCCATAGAGTGCGACACGTCGTGCAAGACCTGCACCGGCGCAACCAATCAGGACTGTGACGAGTGCAAGGAGGGCTGGGAGGAGGATGACCAAGAAGCTTGTGTCGGTAGGAGGAACACCGTCCTGTTCTGCAGACCCTATGTGGGATTTAATTGTAAAGAAAGACTTGGTGTAGGGTTGCACATTTTGAAACTGATAGATTTGTGTTGTCGGCCAAATGATTTGCAGATGTGAACGAGTGTGCCAAAGAGCCCTCACCGTGCAAAGAGGATCAATACTGCCTTAACACTGAAGGTTCCTACTCCTGCAATGGTAAGGTTCAGATTAGTTTCCTCAGATTAAAGGGGGAAAAATTCAGAAATGATAAAATAATCACAATATTTTCAATCTTTTCACAGCAGCTGAACATTGAATTAATTCGCTTTGATCGGCTTGAACTCATACAGGTTGTGACGAGGCGTGCACCGGCTGCACTGGAGGTGGTCCTGATGAGTGCCAGGCTTGTGCTGAAGGGTACCAGGATGTAGAAGGAACCTGCACTGGTAGGATGGAAATATTTTAGTAGATTGTAAATTATTGAGGAAAAGAACTGTATTACCATGTGTACAGAGTCATTTTTACAGTTATCTTTTGCTTATTGCTGTACTTGTTTTCTAGATATTGATGAATGTTCACAGTCGGACCCTGCGTGTGTGAAGGAGAACCAGGAGTGTGTCAACAGTAAAGGCAGCTTCATCTGCATCTGCTCCAGTGGCTATGAGGAGAAAGATGGCGAGTGTGTCCAACAAAGCGGTGAGGGTCAATGTGTTAAATACTCAAACATTTCACCGTTGGTAGCACTACTCTCACCTTTTTCCTTCCTTTGTCGGTAGATGAAAAGGAGGAGTCTGAAGCATCGGAGACGACTCCAGGGCCACACAGGGAGCTCTGATGTTGAAACTTGGACCAGTATATGAACGAACTGAACCTCATGACTTTTTTTTTTTTTTTTTTACTTGGACCGCAATCAATATACCACCTGTTTTCAAAACCCACCAGTGTTTTCCAGTAGTGGAATTGGACAGAAACAGGACATTTTATGCCACTGTTCATTTGTTTTAATAATTAAAGTTGTTTCAATAAAAGTGAATAATGTTGAATTCAATGTGATTCTATTTTAACTAATCAAATACTTTCCATTTTATTTTATAACTTTTAGAATGGAGCAAGTTTAACTGAAGCAGTAAATTAGTGGAAAATCAAAAGAGGAAAATGGTGTTGGGCTTAGGGCAACTTTGTGTTGCAGTAATTTGAAATCACCACATGATGGCAGTGTTAAGTTGCTTTTCAGAGGCTCAGTAAAGGAGCCAATTGGTAATAAGTTGCATAAATGTATGCACAAGTGAACACAATAAAATGGATATTCCTTAATTTAAATGATTAAGTAAAACGTTAGTTTTACAACGCAAATGCTGGGAAGTCAAAACGGCAAGTCAACTGCTACAAAACAAAATCATAGGAAGTTAAATTTGTTTTGGAATGCTATTAAACTGAAATACAAGGTCTGAGTTTTGCTAAAGTTTGGTAGTTTTGTAATGTAAAAAATACGTTTGGCATTTTGAACACAAATTGATTTAGACATTTTATTTTGAAGTTTCGAGTTATTTGAATTAACCATTTTATTTGACAGTTTTCAACGTTGTTTTTTTTTTTTTTTTTTTTCGCAAGCTAAAAGAAACATGTCACGCCTACATTTGTAAAGCTTTGAGGAAAAACTGGCCGACAACGCAGGAGACATTTTAAATGCAATCGTGTTGCAGTGACTTGGGATTGCCACACGATGGCAGTGTTGGCTGTTGAAATTTCGATCTTCAGCGCTCACGTCTGGAATGGATCCAGAAAGCGCGGGATGCTGTGTCGGTGTTTTAAATCATCTTTGCTGCGCACTCAGTGTCCTTAATAATACAGTATTTCCTCTTACATTGATCCAGAGTTTCCTTTACAATCTGTGGTAATAAAAGTACATTTCCCTACTCTTAAAGCTTAATTATTTAAGAGATTAGTCTTAATCTAGATTACTTTCCTCGAACTGGGCACAAGGGGAGGTATTCATGTTTCTTACCAACAATTGCCCACCCTTCAGTCTCTCCTCCTGATCAACCCTTTCCGCTATCTTTGGGATGATGTAAGTTGTTTTGATTTACTCGATCTTGCTGAAGGTGGAAGGAGCAGCCAGTTGAGACCTGTCTGAGCCAGCAGCAGAGATGCAGAGTTGCCCTACTCCGACCCTCGCACTCAGCATGCTGGGCTCATCACTGCGGAGGCATGGATTACACTGTTAGAACTATCTCGTGTTATTAAATATTTTATCCATAACTCAAAGGAGAAAGTGTTTGCTTTAGGAGATGGATGATATGAGGTACTTGGCAAGAAGAGAGCATCAGCGTGAGTCAGCATCCTGACTAATACATGAGTCAGTGTACCTAATACTGATGCTGCCCTTTTAGGTGAATTTAGCCTTCATCAGATGCATATTTGATATGATGTTTTATGTCCTGGAGATGAGATGTGCTCCACTGAGCCTACCTCAGTAACAGCTTTAGTGGGAAAGTCTGTTGCAGGAACCTGAGGCTTAATGACAGTCAAAGCAGATTTGCTTTTTCCTCACTTGTGCCTTCTCCCAGTGCTAACTAGAAACAACCGATAAGAGCCAGGAGGCAAATGAACCAGTCTTGTAGAGGTACAGCATTCTCTTTGTAATATCTTGACTGATCTCTTTAGATTTTTTTCCATGTTGTCACACCAGGAAGCATTGTATTTAAGTAGTTCCTTAAGGTATGTCCACGGGGGCATATTTAACAACCTCAGATGTTGTGAATTAACCTATCAGAAGCTTACAAAGCTTTGACATCACCTTGTGGATTTCCCCAAATTGCCTAAAATTGCTTTTTGTATATGTACACTTCTGACTTGGCAAATTACTCTTGGGCCACATCTTAAATTCATTTACCTTATGAATAACTTGAAAATGATGCAACAACTGTTTCACCCTCTGGGAAAAGAAAACAATACTCCTTCATGACTTTCTGATTTTCAGTGCTTTGAACTTGTGACCCGTTTGAAGACCGCTCCTTTAACCACCAGGCTTTCCTTTTGTTGGGAATTGTTTATTCTGAATGCTGGCCTCCCCTTCCGTGCGGTAAAGCGACCTAGCTTCAGTTTTGCACATGCATGCGAGCATGCTCGCTCGCTCTGTGGTTGGAGGGGCACCCCGATACTTTCTTTTAACCTTGGTGGTTTTCCGCTGCCAGTAAACCTCAGCTGTGAAGCACATGGTCCAGCTGTAGCAGGGTGACTACTAGGACGCTTCCAAAGATGGAAAACACAGGGACACATGGGTGATAGTACCAAAATCTGTATTCAGTGTTTTTCACCTCTCTCTTCTTGTTCAGTGGCATTTCTTGGGCATCTAAATCTATTGCTCTTCTTCTTCCTCAGTCATCAGGGGTTTCATCTCAAACCAGCTTTTTTCCCAGAGCTATCCTTAGCCGAAAGTCTTCATTGTTCCATTATAGGCCGGTGGGACGGGGATAATCACAGTGCTGAGATGCTCTAAGGGAAACTGCATGTTAAACTAGAAGCCAGATGTGGCACCATGTGCTTTTGTTGTCTGTCAGCGGTCTGCACTGCCTCTGATGTCAGGCACTCCTTAAACTTGCTGCCCTCTCTGATGCGGTCAGCTTCGCCTTGTTTTCGGCCAGCTGGGCTCCCAACCGCCGACGATTAGGCCGGACAAATTGGACGCCGTGGGCTGGAGCTCTGTGAGCTCCAGCCCACGGCGCTGAAAGGTGCAAAAAAAGTGATCTTGGTGATCTTGGCCTCTTTTCTTATAAGATGCAGACATTGACAGGAAGTGAAAGCATTAGAAGAGGGTGGAACAGCTGGAGCCATTTGCCTTGGGTTGAGGAGAGGGAAATTGGAAATCTGCTTTGTGAAAGATGTCTAACTCACCGGCTCGCAGCTTGTGTGACCCCTGGAGCTCAAATGACCCCCACATGCCCCTCAAATGAAGAGATTCCTAAATTTTCATAAGGAGAAGAAAAAGTAAAAAAAGTAATAATAGTGAAGTGCAATAACCTGGTTGCATAAATGTGCATCCTTAAACTAACACTAACTTGTTGAAATATGTTTAGGATTTATTTGCTGTGCATCCTACTGATGCCCCAAACTGCCTAAATTTAACAAAAATATAAACCCTCATCACAGCAGTTCCCAAGTTTGTGGTTCCATCTGTGCAGCATCTTAGCAGAAAACAGCAGAATCAAAAGCACTTGATCAGATGTCTTTTCTCCTTAAACAGACTGCCACAGTTGGATTGTATGTTTGGTATTTCCCAGAGTAAATTCAATTGACCTTTGGTGAGAAAAAACAGGGAAACATAATCTATATCTGAATTATTTAGGTCACAAGATTTTCTTTTTTCCACCAAAAGAAAACACACAAAGGCCCTTAAGCAGTAGAGAATTCAATAACTCTGTTTTGATCGCATGTGCAGAAATTAGATTCTACCTGAGACCATTTCAACTCAATAACAATCCCAGCTTTTTTTAATTATTCAGTGGGTTTTGTTGCCTTGTTTCATTGCGCTGAGAATGAAAATCTTTCAATTGTTTGTAATTTTCTTATTTACTTCAACATGGTATTGTTTTACTTTCTTTTGTACAATCCACTGTGGCTGGACTGTTTTCAGAGGGGTACTCCTTCCTATTCTGAGTGTTGAACAGAGACTGCCTTTACAATGATCTGTTTGATCCTGAAGCCAGGGTCCAGGTCTAGAATTGTCTCTCTGTATGTGCAGGTGTGCACATGTGCTGAGCATAACAGGGTGATGAGATTAGGCCCAGCGTGCTTTCCGTGTACAGCAATACGTCATGAATGAATCATTGGCCTCTGATCTTTTGCAGCCATCAGGAATGAGAGGAGACAGATAGGAGACTTTGATCTCAGGGCTGTAGGCTTAAGTCCTTTGTCTGTTGAGATGCAAATAAAAATGAAAACATTGAGACACTTCATCTGCTTTTGCTCTAGCTATTACTACATTAATGAAATAACTACCTATAGTGGCTGTGGAACAGTGAACCAGATCTTTACGCTCATGGAATTGCTGAGTTGTTCGTGGTACTTTGGTTGCATTGTCCACATCTGCAGAAGGATTACAACAGTCTTGGATTACAACAGGGTTGTTTTTAAGGGATAATTGGTACTTGTCAAAGGAAGTGCTGTGTCTGTTTTTCTGGCACAAAGTGTAACTTGTTCCCAGGACAAGGTGGACTGTGTCCGATTGTGGTGTTTATGGACTGCAACTCAAGGTGCATTTGTAACGAGAATTTGGGAACCTCAGGGTCTCACCTTAGCTTGTTGCAGATGCTCTAACAGCATGTGGCAATGGACCACCAGGAAAGAGGCTGATTGCTTTCCTTAGGGTAGTGGGTCAGTCTGAGGCGCAAGAGGAGACTTTCAAATAACTTGTCTTGTTCACCAGAGAGAACTGTGGGTATATGGGTTGAGACTTTGCCGGGAGTAATGTGGTCACTGCTATGGTCTGTCACGGTGAAGACAGAGGAGAATCAAAATGAGACTCCAATGGTGATCAGATATAGTTCATGGCCAAAAGGAGAAATGCTGGAGACAACAAGCTGAAATAAGCGAGGCAGTTACATTACTCTGTTTTCTCTGAAAAGAACCCTTTCAAAAGAAATGTAAACTGCAGCAAAAAAAAAAATTGACAGGAAATATTTGTGGTTTTAAAAACCGTGACTATCTATTCCCAAGATACACCTTTTTACCATTAGTCAGCTCAGGCTCCCTTTGGCAATCCTTCAAACACACTTTGTAACACTGAAGATGTACTTAAAACTTAGCAGGTACCTCTTTTACTGCTAGACCGCTCTGTCCTTTTGGTATGTGGGGGGGGGAAACATCTGGGGTTCTCCTGGAATGCCTCAGACCAAGATGCTTAGCAGTAGATCCTTTGAGCCATGTGGATTGGGCTTCTTTCCTAAAACCACTATGAGATCCCTTTTTTTTTTTTTTTTATCGGGGAGCTTTGGAGTCCAGATGCATGCCTCAGTCCCTGTGTTATGTCCAAAGAGTTAATCTTTGGTAGAAAGTTGTTGTGCAAATGGTTGGAGAACATCAAATGTCTAACCAATTGATGTTTTACCTCAACATATTTTTGTATTATACTAAGATGGTTTTAATTCTTTAGCATGCTGCTTCAGCATCTAGAAGGAAGAAAAGTTTGTAATTTAGTGCAACATTCCCCCTTCAGATAAGTCATCCTTGGATGGTGTGCTTGGAGAAGGAGCCGGGGCAGCAGAGCAAAAACCTTTTTCTGTATCACCAGAATTTTCTTTTCACAACTGTAAGGAAGACTGTAAGACTTGATCTCTATTGCAAGATCTAATGAAGCCTGATGTAGCACTGATGACTCCTAACATTGATCCATCTATCCAGGTGTCAGTGCAGAAGATCAGCCATGTATACTTTGTGTCCTGAATCTTTGTTGCATTTCTTAGTGAAGGCCAAAGTTGCCAAATGGTTGAACTATCGTTGCCTACTATGGGAGACGACTAGTGTATAGACTTTGTTGACTAGTCACAGCTTTCTTAACAAGTCCCCTGGCTGCTTAGACTACAAAAAATAGGAATGGTGACTCTCCAATTCCTTGTTTGAATCTTCTAACATCTGCAGAAAGATCCATTGAGTTTTATTTTTTTGTTATTCCTTCATCCTTCCAGGGTTGGTGTATCTTTCTGGTGGTCAATGGATAAGAGCTGGGATTCACCCTGGACAGGTAAGGAAAATTCAGCTTCATCAATTTGGAATTCTTCAATGAGTAATAGTTTTCATAAATATTCACATAGAGTACCTTTTTTCATGGTGGAATTCCCTACTAACCTGCATTATACTTCTATTATAAAGCACAGGGAGTCCTGTACAGCCGTTTTTGGGATCAGGCACGTGGTTTATCTGTTGCAGCACCATGTAACTAACGCTCAAATGTTGCATGTGTGCAGGTAGTAAAATGTTAGACATTCCCCCTTCAGAGAAGTCATTCTTGGATGGCTACAGAACCTAACACGGAGATCCCATAAGCACACCAATAAAGTCACAGACAGTCGGAGCCAGATGTTCAGCAGCTGGTCGAAATAGCAACGTCAGGTATGTTCTTATCCTTGTCAAAAACACTTTGAGCAATATTTCTACTGGAAATAAATGTAAAGAAAATATATTTGTAAAAAAAAAAAAAGAAAAGAAGCTGCATCAGGGGTTGTGCGTCTGGAAGCATGACCTATCTAATATTGGGTTTGCAATGAATTAGCAGGATTTTGCATTGTTCACCTATTGTAACACCTGCGGCATTTATAAGACACTTTCTGGTTACCCACATCAAAGGCATTTTTCTCCTGCACTGCTGGACCCAACTTCAAAGCGATTTCCAGACCTTTTTTTTTTGTCCAAAACCAGCTGTAAAACCCCAGTGGAGGCGGAGACCTCTGTTCCTTTCTCCATATAGCAGTGTGTTGTTGCCATGGCGCTCAGGTGGTGTTGACACTGGAGGGTGTAAACAGGACGGAAGGGAACAAGGAGTTGATGAGTAGGGGAGAGAAGGAGTCACAGATGACACAAGTCTTGGCGATAAATTGCATTGCTAAGGGTGGAAGAGCAAGAGTTTATGCTTACTGTTACAAAAACATGTTTTTCTCATGAATTTGTTCTTTATTGTATTTGTTTTTATTTTTTTTTCCTTTCAGAAACCGCAACTTTTTCTGAAATAACTCGTAATAACGTCTATGGCTTTTTAACAGTTATGCTTTTGTCCCTTACAGATTTCTTTTGTTTTTGCTTTTTGGCACAATTTAATGTTTTAGATTACTAAACATCCTTTACACATCAGACAAAAGTAACCGGAATAAATACAAAAGATGATGATTCACTTATTAAAGGAAAAAAAGCTCTCAAACTAAATTGTCTCATGTGAGTACATAATTGGTGCCTTGTTAACTAACCCAGGTTTGATTACTGTTTGAGTAATTAAGAAATCACTGTAGTAGAACCTGTCTTACAACACAAAGTAGGCCTCACAAAGATACGCATCACGCCTCATTCTAAAAAAAAAAATTCAAAAGGAGATGCAAAACAAAATCAGGAATATCTAAAAGTCTACAAAGCAGCTAAAAACTGACTTGAGAGCTACTATTAACGAATGAAGAAAACATTGAGTGGTGGTGGACCTTCCAAGAAGAGGCTGGCCTACCAAAATTACTTCAAAAGTGCATTCACATTACATACATGAGGTTGCAAAACAATCCAGAGTATCTCTAGCACAGTATTTTTTTCACAATTTTTTAGAAAAAAAAATTCTAACCTTTGACATTTTTTCCATTACATGTAAAAAATGTGTAATTTTTACACATTTTTTAAAAATTACACATTTTTAAAAAATGTGTAATGTGTATTTACACATAATAATTTATGGATTTATAATCCATAAATTATTATGGATTTAAATCCATAATAATTTAAATCCAAATTATTATGGATTTAAAGTGATAGGCCAACACAAAGTAGAGCAAAACTGCTGGAAGATGAATTTTTGTGTCTTTTGCAGCTTCTACCAGGTTTTCTTATGCCATCGTCTTCTATTTGGCTCCCCCCAAATAGAAAGGTATCCCCACGGTCTGCTGCTTCCACCTCTGTGTTTCACCGACTTATTGAAGCTGACAAGTAGTGCTACTTTCCCTCCTCACATTGTGTTTTACACGTAGGCCAAAAGGTCAAGCTGCTGACTAACGCTGGAGATAATTTATGTGTATTTAAAGTTACTCTCTTCCAATCCAATTTGTGATAGTTGTTTTGTCGTGTTAAGCAGCATGTGCTCAAGCTCCAACTTTCACGACCCAGTCGGTTGTACTCTCAGAATACAACAAACTACAGCTGGAGCTCCAAAACATTCTCTCATCTTCCTCCAGCTTCCTAAACGTGGCTCACTCTGATCCTCGTTTTATTGAATTGTTTAGTGGACGTGTTCCATCGCAACATAATAAGAGGGGACGCAGTTCTCTTATGAACCTTCAAAAGCCACATGAAAGCGAAGCGCAGTCTATTGCGAGCAGCAAACAACGTGCCCTTCGCGGGCTTCTGTGTCACTCGGCGTGGAACTCATTTCCTGGCCGCTATCGCTTCATATGGCTTTGTTTTTTCTGGATGGGGACCCCAGAGAAGAGAGAGCAGCGATCACAGGAGGGCTCAGCAGCTTATCCTCGCTGACCACCACACTGATGGCGGTTATGCAACGGAGAGGGCTACTCTCGGTCAGCACAAAGGGTGATTCGCGTTCAGTTCAACAACCTTCGGGGGGAAAAACAAAATCTGGTGTTTTTCTACGACTGGAGTTCTTATAAAGCCTCGTTTCGAAGTGCAGCCTTCTTCCTGAGCACCAGTTAGGCATTTTCTGTCTCGAGCGTCTCAGCGGGTCGGCTTTGAAGGAAAAAAAAAGAAGAAAAAAAAAAGAGTGCGTTCCGTATTGAAGTCTGTGCTGATGATTCTGCAGTCAGAGTGAGCACTGCTGGGTCAGCTAAGCCTTGCCTGTCACCTCTCTGTCAGCTCAGCACTTTTGGACATATATCTGCCATGTAGAACTGCCGGTCCACTGGCATTCCCCGCAGTATCTCAATGCACTGAAGCGTACCCAACGCATCCTGCTATTCACATTGAAGGTTTTCAAGTTAGGTGCTAAAGTACTTCTGAAATGCCTTTTCAGATTTGCAGGTTTACATGAAAGAATCATAAACATATTGAAGACTGAATTCAACATCTCTTAAATAACTAACTTTAAATTTAGAGATTCTGATGGAATCTAGAGATGCACTGAAAAGCTGACTATAGAACAGGATGTTTTTTTGGGGTTTTTTTTTTAGCTAGACTAAACATGGCTGGTTAGCCATCACATAGAGCCTGATTATTTAGGAAAATAATTATCTGAGAGCAAAAAAAATAATCACTGAAATTTTATTTCCAAATCGATCCATGATCCTCTAACTTGGGGGGGAAAAAAATCATAGATAAAAATAATAGAAAAGTAACTTACTTGGTCATTATGCAGCAGAACACCGAGTTCCACACCACTGATCCCAATATACACAAACCTTTCACAGCGGGAGCACATCAAAGGCAACACACATACTACAAAAATATGAAAGAACTTGATGTTCCACAGTTTTTTAAAATTAATCATAAGCAGACAAATGTTTGCTGTCACCGATATAATAACTTGGTCTGAATCCAATTTACCCTATAAAGCCTATTTCAAAGCATGTGATGTCGCCACTGCTCCTAATGCAAAGACGTAGTGACCACTGTTCTTCTATCCTCTTCTGTTATTGTCACTGAAATGAAGTTAAAATCAACTAGAACTGGAATCAGCAGGTCAAATCTTTAAAAATTAGGAGACCATAAATTAGCCAAGACCTTGATTGTTGCATCTTGAATTGAAATGCAGTACAAATAAAAAATAGTATACCATCAGAATTCAACATGGTATTTTTTTTGTCTTTGTTAATCAAGTTAAGTATACCACCCTTCAACTCCATATGAAGCCATATAAATAAATTGTGATAAGGGAGACTTTGTGTTCCTTTGGCTTAACTCCAGTTCTCCACTAGGGAACTTCGCAGAGTTCTTCTGTTACCATCTTCCCAGAGATCCACTTGTCTCCTCATCATCCAGCCTTGTTTGACACTGTTTCAGTAGTTTTTATGTTTTAGCTAGTGCTCACATAGTTCGATACAGGCAAGTTAAGCAATTAACAAAAATTTTAGGCTGTTTTTGTTGTGAAATTAAAAAAGAGTGGACTGTCCCTTTAATCTTTTAGAAACACCAATACGTGGTTTTTCTCTGATTTTGATGATCTACGTCTTTTAATCTTTGAACACTAGGTGTCACCCTGCATGCAGGAGGTGATCCGTCAGGTTTCGGACGGCTGCCCACACATGGCGAGCTGCTGGCCAGAAAACATGTGGACCCACGAGGAGCCGAGAGGCCAGAGACAGCTGTGGATGGGAATCGGTCAGCAGGGGTGGTCTGTCTTGTTTTACAGTCCTCAGCTGCATGGGCCTCTTCTCCTGAGGACTTGAATCTTTTATTATGGTGTTAAAGAGGCTGATCCTCGGTGTAGCATTGCAAACAACTTAACTGTAGTTCTTATATGGCCTTTGGGTAATGATCATTAGTCACATAGGCCTTGTTTTGGGGTAAAGTTGAATTGCATGTGTAATTTTAGATATGTTTAGTTACTATAAAATACCCTTTTCATTTATTGTGACATTATAGCCAGAAATCATATGCATCTTTTTGGAATTGTATGTGATAAACCAACACAGAATAGTGCCAACTAAAAGGAAAATGATGCGAATCAATCAAGTTCAAAATAATGCCTTCAGAAGTCCCCTTGTTTGTATGAAACCCACCTGTTTGCAGTGTAATCTTTGTGTAAATACAGCTGTTCTGTGAAGACCTCAGAAGATTGTTAGAGGACATCATAGAAGAAACAGCATCAGTGAAGTGGTTTAAAGCAGGATTAGAGTATAAAACAATATCTTAGCGTATACAATATCTTTTACATCTCAAAGAGCACTGTTCAGTCCATCACCTATCTGAGAAGCAGCAGAGATCACCATGGTAACTCTAGAGGAGGAGCAGGGAGCACTAACTCAGGTGGAAACATTATTGCACATACTTCAAAAACTTTACGATAGACTTATTAATCAGTAGTCAGTCATTTACGGACTAATAATTCACAAATAGAAGCATTTTTGGAAAGACTGATGTATAAGAAAGTCCTCTGGCCAGATGGGACCACAGCTGGACTTTTTGGCCTACTTGCAAAACGATTTTGAGGTGGAAAAGTAACCACTTCATATCCACTTGACTGTCAGCATGGCGAAACGTGGCAGCGGCATTATCAGACTCTGATGTCTTTTTTCAATAAGGAGAGATAAGCTGGTCAGAGTTGAAAGCAAACCTGTTAGAAGCTACAAAAACATGGCACAGAGGTTCAGCTTCCAGCAGGACAGGGATCCTGTAATCTGGGGTATGAATACTGCAAGGTTGATTCTTTTAACACTTATTGTCCAATAAAAACCTTCTTTCCTTGTCGCAGTTTCTTTATGGTCTAAAATCTATCCAAGAGTCGGTTAAGTGATGGTGACATAACATTCAGTCTTTGATGTGCAGATTTGATCAGGAAATTAGCCGCCTTCCAAACTTTTGTCCCTTCACAAGCAGGGAGGAAGAAGAAAAAAAAACAAAAATTGAGAAGAGAGAAAAAGAGCTTCCGGTGCTTTTCATTCTGTTGCAGAAAATGTAAATTAAGCGTGTGACCAAATGACTACACAGCTTGATCTGGCAGGTTTTACATAATGCTGGAAGCTGGTCAGGTTTCCCGTAGCCAAGCACTAGCAGCTACGACTTGGCGCACATCCTGTTTCTGGGGCTATTTAGCCACGGCTGTGAATGGCTCCGGTGGAGAAACGCGGTGGAAGCGTCTCCGATTGCAGAGAGGAGGAAAAGGCGGCGAAGCGGCCCACTCACCAGCTTGCTGCGGCCCCCGCGCGCAGACATACACAAACCCCCGCACGTAGTGAGGAACAAGAACATATTGGCAGCCACCACGGCTGATGCACAACCTCCAAAGCCATCAGGTGTAGAACCGTAAACGGCAAACCTTAAATTGCACGTGAATTTAGCTGACGCCGAACACAAAGGGCTACACACACTCTTTTGACTCTTTCCATCTTGTTCTCCCTCCTACACACTGACACGCTATCACACATGTTTGTACGTGCCAGTACAGAACTCCCAGATGGACTACTACCAGAGCAGCAGTTGCATAACAATGGCCTGTTTTCTAGCCGCAAACTTTAAAGCGAGAACCAAGATG